CCCAAAGCAGATTGGCATCAAGCCTCTGCCCCTGATTTGGGGCGAGGGAGAGCCTCATCGCCGAGGTCCAGTTGTCGTTTCCCGATCTTCATCCACCATTGGAAGACGTAACGGTTCGTATCTTTGACACCACATTATACTATTCACGCAGTTGCGGCTAATCAGCTTTCATTACCGTAGCCATCGGAGGTGAGTACCGTTTGTGCTTGGGTGAGCTTCTGATTTTGTAGGGACTGACCTATTGAACTTAGCTCAGTAAGTTAAACATACCTGACGCCTCTGAGAATACAGCACAGCAGGCAGAACAGCAAATGCTTCGTATCTAACACAGCTCTTGCCAGTGGCGGGTCGTATTCAATTTACTATGCTTTGGCTGTTGCTAGCAAACAGCTTAACCTGGAGCATAGGTAAGACCCTGTTGGATCACGCACGTTTCGCAAAACGCTCACATTCCAGACCCGATTTCACCAACACGGAGCCGGCTGCCAAAATTGGACCCTTTCCTCAGTGGGGAGACCCTAAGAAGATTGTGGCCATGGATCCTTGGGGACATTTGGCACCCTGGCTCTTCAAAGATACGATTGAAAGAGACAATGGTACGAGAACCTCGAGGACATCGTCTGCACAGACAGTCACGCACTAATACGAGGTTGAAGTTGATATCCGCCCGACTATCGCCATCACTAAGGCACACATGAAGGTTCGCGATCACACGTGCATATGATATCGATGTGCTAACGTCTGCAGCTGCCGGAGCTGGAAGAAAGCGTCAGGACGGGAAGGCTGTGAGTTTTCTTGACGCAAGAAATGGAACTTGCTTTGACTGACCTGGGATGTTAGCGTTCCTGACGGCAAGGTCTGTATTAACAACCTCGGAGAGCTTGCTGTGACCAAGTTTGCTGTTGAGCCTGTATGTCGACGCCACTAAGACGACCGAAAATGACGCAGCTAACATTGACCTAGGTGTGGTATCTGCCTGGGGTTGCCGAGAGATTTGGCATCGGTTCGTCATAGTTCCATCTCAATGACCATTGAGTATCTAACTTAGCCTCTAGACGAGGGGGCCTTGAGGCGATCATTGTTCGAGCACACTGGGGGTAGCTACCCTGAGGTAAGTAACGTGGGCTCATCAGAAATCGGGCTCTTGGCTGACTCAATTGTCAGTTGATCACCCGCGGAGACATCAAAGTTTTCCTTCCCCCCATCGGTGAGCAGGCCTGAAGCAGATTTCGACTTCGAGCTGACCTATTGACCCGGATAGGTGGGCTGACTGTGTACTGTTTCGGTGATCCTGCCAAGATGTCAGACGAGTCGGTGCGGTTGGCATTGCGCATCCACGATGAGGTTTGCAACATGGACTCCAGCAATGACTTCCCCGCTTACAGTACCTTAGTGCAACGGCAGTGATGTCTTTGGATCTGACATCTGCACCTGTCGTCCTTATCTCATCTTTGGCATTGAAGAGGCGGTCAAGGAAGCGCAGAATGGTGGTAGCGGCGTTGTGATATACTTCAGGAAAGAAGGCAGAGCTCTCGGTGAAGTCACCAAGGTGAGTAACTAGCGTGCCTTCATTCAATGCGAACAAAGCTGACACAGAGCTATAGTACCGTGAGTGTACCCTGAGTTGCGCGCCCGTGCCTGATTGAACTAAGCGCAGCTGCCGACCTGTCGCAGAACGTGTGTAAGATAGATGCTGACGGGGAACACAGTCGTGTACAACGCTCGTAAGCGGGGTGAAGACCGGGCTTCAGACTACTTCAAGAGAACCGAGAACATTGCAGGTGTCAAGGACATGCGTTTCCAAGCCCTGATGCCGGATATCCTCCACTGGCTTGGAATCCGCAAGATCGATCGCATGCTCAGCATGAGCAAGTGAGTAGAGGCTTCTCCCAGCGAAGCCGTCGTACCGCTAACAGGTCATTCCCAACAGCATGAAGCACGACGCCATCGTGGGACAAGGGTGAGCGATGAGTTCCACGTCCAGAAACGTCGATGGGATTTCGCTGACAGTATCTGCAGAATTCCCATCCATGAGCGGGTAGAACTCCCAGAGGAATTGATACCGGCAGATTCCCGAGTCGAGATAGACGCGAAAATCACCGCAGGCAAGCCAACACAAGTAAACTGCGAACCATTTTGAGTGCTAATATCAGAGTCTAGGGTACTTCACCGCTGGAAAGCGTATGACGGAAGAAGAGCTGAGGGCTGTGCAGGGTCGGCTCTGGGAAGAGTATGTTCCCCCAGGCTGGAGACAATTCATCGACCGCTGACATGCCCGCAGTATTGACCACTAGGCACCACATCCAGAACTTTGGGTCGGTGGTGCGTTGAACGAGTAAGGGAGCAGCGTGGAAACAAAGGTGCCTCAATGCTGAGCAAAGGCTGAGCAAAGACCAGCTGTGTTATTGACCCTCCCCATGTAACTACCGCATCATCGCCGGTCTCCGGATGGATGGGGCAAGTAAATGTTGGACCTGCAGGTGATATATCATTCCCTTTCCCCTGGTTATGTCGGCGGCATGAAGAAGAGGGGTGCAGCGGAAGTCGGGTAGGAATGTTGCTGCGGCATCGTCGCATGTACTGGCAAGCTGGCGGTTTAGGGACGGGAAGGCCCCATATATAGTAACGGACGCCATTGGGTTAGATATCTCCCGGTGAGCTAATTGACACGAGACGTCACTACAACCACGTAACATGGTCGTCGCACCACCAACGCGCGTGAGGAAACTAGGCCTGGCCTGGCCCGATCCGCATGTGCTGTATGTGTATGTGTGCGTGTGCGTGTGTGTGCGTGTGCGTGTGCGTGTGTGGTTAATTGTGTATGAAAAGACTTGCCAAGGAGCAGCGACGCATGTACCGCTCCCAGCTTCCCCAGTTCCATGTCGTTGACCGGTGCGGTGCAATGGCGGTGTTCAGCCGGGATTGGACTCGACTTCCCGGGAATGGGCGGGAAATGGCGGGAACTGGTCAGCCAAACGGTTAGCCACCCCACAGTAGCTGCATGTGTGATGTCGGCCATGCATGGCCTTTGCGTATAAGTGCCCAAACAGACGCTCACCGACCCATACAACTCTAGACACATAGTTGGGAGCCGGTCCCATCAGGCACCGGCCATGTGGCCCAATGAATGCACGCTTAGCCCGTCAGCGGAAAACCATCGACCAGGCTCGGCCCCTCGTGGACCGATGCTCCCGCCAGGTAGCCGGGCTTGATGGCTGTTGATAATGTGCATGATATCCGCGTGAGGATGGGGTCAAAGGCAAATATGATTTCCATCCGGCTCGTACTTACTGTAGTTTTGCTAAAACCGATCAATCAACCGTGAGCATTCACGCCTAGCCGGGGTAGCATCCTTCTTTATCCATTCAATCATACGACAATCCACCTGGCAACTATGGCGACCGTCGCCCGGGATTTGCGAGACGATGACAACATGAGGAGAAGGGAATCATCGCCTCGAGCAGATCGTCGACGCCGACCGAGGCTACTACGAGCCAGTGCAACTGAGCCTTCCATCACAACAACGTCGAATGCCAGTCGTGGTGCCATATCAAGTCCGCAGTCAACTCAGAGAGCTACCGAGTTGCTCAATCGCGTCGCAGTATATTCCGGTCCAGCCCCCGAGTACTCACCCACGTCGGGTGCGGCACCTCCCATGGCATCGTTGAGCGCCGAGGACGTGACCGTGGCGTCCGTCAACCGCGTACAGGGTCACAGGGAGCACCATCCTTGTCCGTGAAGTCCCAGGACGTTGGACAGCAACGAGTTAACTTTGCTGACGACATGCGTTGTCCAGATTCGAACGGCTATTTCAGCTTTCCCAATTTCGATGCCTGGGACGGAGAGCGGCGCAGTGACGGCAAAGAGGAAGATGTTTGAGCAACTCGATAAAGAGTTAAAAAATGTCCGCCCGTCCCAGGAATGAGACGTTTCTGAATGCCTCACGAAAGGCATATGATGACGATGATGACGGCGCCCTACGGGCTGTCCACGATTCTGCATGAGCCGTATGACCTATCGGGGAATGTCATGGCCTCGGAGGGTGGTTACATGTCAATGGCGAACTGTCTTATCGACCGAAGAAAACGAGCCTGAAGACAAGGTAGGGGGTTTTATCGTGGTTTTATGCTGCATCGGCGAATGCGCAACGAAGACGGGCAGGAGGTGAATGATGGCGAGATGACAATCGCCACCGGGGCTCCTCTTAGGCGTTTGTATGGTCTGGGTGGGGAAGTAAGGACAGAAACACCATAGGTCAACTTCACCGGTCATAACAGGACGGACAACACCACTTGGGTAGAGTGAAGGAGGGATCATGGACATCACACCTTCTGCAAGAGGGATGGGTGGATGGCGGCTAGCAAATAATTGCGGAAGCCTTGAGAATTGTACTTTTCTGCTGGATACCCGGGTGCAGGATGGCGTCAGGTAATCAATGCCCTCTGTTGGTGCCATTGTGGGAGTCGAGATTCTTCATTGTGAAGTTGGATCATGATAGGCAAATTGTAGCATGTTCATCTGAACGTTGTACTCAACGCGGAGGCGCGCCAATCGACCGATAGTCCACGTCCAGCCACACTCTTCATGCGGCCGCAGCCACACCTGGCTGAGCTGTGACATTCACTGCCCGGCACAATACGTACCTACCTACCGAAGGAGGCACTGTCCCCGCAAGGTAGGTAGGTACTTTCTCTGTACCGGGAGTGGGTCTTTGGGGCTGACTGAACAAAAATTTTTCATGATTTTGTGCATCACGTGATTACAGTGCGGGAAGGACCGTGCGTGGTCTCATCCAGTATGGTGTCTCTTGGGGCAGGGGCAAGCACAGTGCTGTCCCGGGGTTGCAGGCCGCCTGGATTACATAATTCGAACGGGGCACACTCGCTAAGAATTTCGGCCACACAACCTGCGCTCTCAATTTTATCACCAGCGAAAACACCACCCCTCCAATCTTTCAACTACTCAACGTTCATCCGCCAGACAAATAGCAGCCGCCCAAAATGGCTGTTGGAAAGTAAGCGACATCACTCCTGCAGACAAATAGCGATGCGCGCGCCGTCGAGTGTCGCTGCCGTACGCATTCTCGCCGTCAGTTGCTAATCATTCTGCTTTCTCTAGGAACAAGAGATTGTCCAAGGGCAAGAAGGGTCTCAAGAAGAAGACCGTGGACCCCTTCTCCCGCAAGGATTGGTACCAGATCAAGGTAAGGGTCGGCGCAGCCACAATTTCGGCGACATGTAGCTGACAATGCCACGACAGGCCCCGGCCCCCTTCAACATCAGAGAGTGAGTTCTGCCAGCCCGATGTTCCAACAACCGGATAGCCGGCAGCGACAGAAGACCGACAGCGAACTCGGAGGACACGATCGAGAAGAGGTCGATGGAGGGGGCGCAGACAGGGTTGGAGATTACTTCGCAAGCGGATTGCTGACTCCTTCTGCAGTGTCGGCAAGACCCTGGTCAACAGAACCACCGGTCTGAAGAACGCCAACGATGCCCTGAAGGGCCGTATCTTGGAGGTCTCTCTGGCGGATCTCCAGAAGGACGAGGACCACGCTTTCCGCAAGGTTAAGCTCCGCGTCGACGAGGTCCAGGGCAAGAACTGCCTGACCAACTTCCACGGCCTCGACTTCACCTCCGATAAGCTCCGCTCCCTCGTCCGCAAGTGGCAGACCCTCATTGAGGCCAACGTCACTGTCAAGACCACCGACGACTACCTCCTCAGACTCTTCGCCATCGCTTTCACAAAGCGCCGCCCCAACCAGATCAAGAAGACGACATACGCTGCTTCTTCGCAAATCCGTGCCATTCGCCGCAAGATGACCGAGATCATCCAGCGTGAGGCTTCCACCTGCACCCTCACCCAGCTTACCTCCAAGCTCATCCCCGAGGTTATCGGCCGTGAGATTGAGAAGTCCACCCAGGGCATCTACCCCCTCCAGAACGTACGTTTCAGATCCATATGTGGTGGTGCGCGCAAATTTCAGAGCTGACTCGATGTCCTCAGGTCCACATCCGCAAGGTCAAGCTCCTCAAGCAGCCCAAGTTCGACCTTGGTGCCCTGATGGGTCTCCACGGCGAGTCTGGCACCGACGACCAGGGACAGAAGGTTGAGCGTGAGTTCAAGGAGCGCGTTCTTGAAGAAGTCTAAGGAGCAAGAACTTAGACGGAGGAAGGTTCGGCAGCAGGGAACTCTGGCTCTATCGGCCGGAAAACAAACTCGGCATTGTTTAGGTCGTTGCACATGGCGTAGCATTAAGGCGGCTGAGGGTCTAGGTTACCTCAAAATGGTAAATGGTCAATTCTTCAAGACACTGTGCCGGGTGTGCGCAGCCTCGCTTCCGAATCATGATGGCAAGACTTGGGTTTCGGGATCCGACTGGAGGATATAAAAGAAAAAGGCGTCATGTGTGTATGTGGAATGGACGGACACGGTTTTTGTTGCAGTCCGTTTTCGACCAAGGGCAGACTCTCGCAGTACCACCAATGCGACTTCGTTCCTGGAACAAGCATGGCCCATTGCGGGTTCTCGTGACTGGAAAGCTCAGTTTACAAGGAGCGTCTTTGTGGTGACGTAGTTTGCATCCCATGATTCGGGGCATGTCAAATTGGACCTAGTGTGTGTCTAGATATTTGTCTATTCCATGCCTGTCTACGAATGAATACAACCCTGCCCTATCCTCCTCGGCCACGCACATGCGCTCTATGACGCCTTCCGCTATTCGGGTCCTCTTAGAAACTCGACGACCGCTACGACTCATGCGTGAGTTCTTGCTACGCGACCGGTACTAAGGGGAACTTACCCTGGCGGAAGTCTTCCGGCTTCTCTGATATCACCCAGTGACCGGCGTCGATGTCTGTCAACCGAAACTTGGGGAAGAATTGTCCGATGATGGGCAAAACATCATCCGGTACATACTTGCTTTTGGTTCCGCGGACAAAAAGAGCAGGCTTCTCGAAACGAACCTTGCTCGGATCTTTGTATGGGAAGTCCCCCATGTGGTTCAAAGAACGACCAATGATGTCCAGTGGAACTCGAAACTTTTGCTCCGGCTTCCCTGCTTGGGGCCGATGTAGATTGCCAAGCAGGAATTGACGAATAGGCAGAGACTTATGTCACAGAGTCAATGAAATGTGCGCTGCGTTTGGGCACGGAGAGTCTTACACTTTCATACTCTTTGAGAATCTGGTCCGCCTCTGCCTGCCTGGTGACATTGGCAGATTCGATCCTTCTCATGCCTTGGATATACTTCCCAAAACCACTTTCCAGTACTGCATCCACCGGCGCATTGTCGACCGCGACGATGTCCTTGACGAGATCAGGCGATTCCAACGCAAGTGTCATGGCAGCCTTAGCACCCCTTCGAAGACATGGCTCAGTACGCGACATCTCTTTGAAACCTAGTGATCTTTTACTCACATCGAATGCCCAATGATGGTCGGTTGACGGAGGTCATGCTGGTCTATGAAACCCGCGACATCATCTGCCATGTGTACGTAGTCGTGATGCCAGTCATGAGGCGACTCTCCATGGTTGCGCAGGTCCTGGCACCATCATCAATACCGCGGCCAAGTCTTGCGAGTAGTTCCTTTACCAATGCATAGACGGGTCTTCCAAGATCACGTGCGAGTACTCTGGAAGTGTGTCAGAAAAACGGGATCCGTCCATGGCGGGTTGACTCACTTGCTGATGCTTCTGTTGTTCTTCTTGGACCCAAAGAGGCCATGAAGGAAAATGATAGGGGCAACCAACCCAGCGGCTGCTTTGCTTGGCTCATGCAAGTCGTAGGACAGCGTCAGCCTATTCTGAGTCGATAAAGGCCTCAGCTGTGCTGATCCAGCCAGAGTACCCCGGCGAATGAAGCGCTGCATTGTGGACAACGTCATTTTAGCTAAAGTGAGATGAGGCTGATGAAAATTTATATGCTACTGATGTTGCGATACCCTCTATCTGAGCTACAGCCTTACTACCTATCACGTGATATATAGTATTATATAAGCCGCGCGTGAAGATATTAGCTTATAATATAAACTACTTTTCTAAATAATTACTCTTAAAATATACCTTTATTTTTAATAACTTATATATTTATAATTTATAAATATTATAAACTTAGTTTTATTAATAAATTAAATTAATTTTTTATTGTAAGTTATGTAGAAGAGAACTTTTTCTTATTTTTCTTTTAATTATTTTACTAAGTTTATTTATTATATCTTCTATAAATAATAAAAGTCTTTTTATAAATAATTTGTTTATATTTAAAAATTCATAACTTATATAATATACTTATTATAAGTTTTATATATAGTTAAAAAGGGTTTAAAGTTATATTTACTTATATATAATTAATTATATTAAAAGCTATTCGTTTTATATTATTAGATTTAACTAAGATTAATAATATAAGCTAAATTAATCTTCTTACTCTCTACTTATAATTAGAGTATTAACTACTATAGTACTATAATATTATATATCATATATAACTTACTTATAATATATAGTATATTATAAAGGAAAGTCTAATATTATTACTATTCTATATACTACTATAGCTATAGCATATAGTATATTATATACTATAAATTATATTATTTCTAGCTATAATAATATATATTAATAATATATATTAACAATAATATTTATAGGTTTTTGATAACTAGTTATTAAGCTTCTAGCTGGCTATTATGATTTTTACTTAGAATTTAAACTATAATAACCTCTAACTTCCCCCTTTAGCTAATAGCTTACTAGTTATATAATTATAGTTTTATAGATCGCTATCTATAAACTTTTATGTTTAGCCCTCTTTCTCCTATTGATATTTAAAGGCGCTATTATAATCTTATTACTTTTAATATTACTTTAATAATAACTTTATAACTTAACTGGGTTTAATTACTATAGACTTTCTTTAACTTTCTACCCTATCTATTAACTCCTATATATACCTCTTATTATGAAGCTTAGCTATATTTTCTACTATTTATACTATATATATATTTTAAGATAGATATCTATTATAACGTTTTTAAAGGATATAGTGCTATTACTACTATTTAAGCCTTTTATTAACTAAGTTAATATCTTTATAGTCTATATTTACTAGTAATACCTATAATATTATTAGCTTAGCTAACCTATTAGTTATACTACTTTATTAAGGATATTATTAAAATAAGTATAAATATTAAGATTAGTAGTAAATATATCTATATTATTAAGCAAGAAGCTTTATTAAAGTAAATAAGTAACTTTTATACTATTATTATTAAGACTAGCTTCTAAAACTTTAAAATAAGACCTAGTTATAGTTATTTAGTTCTTAAAGCTCTATATATTAAAAAGCGTTATTTTATTTATTATTATAAGTTTAGCTTTATAGTTAGTATTAATCTTAATATGTTAAAGTATACTTTAGTTAAAGCTTTATAATAAGATCTTATAAATAAGTAGAGTAGAATATATTGTAAACGAATCTAAATAGTTTATTTAGTAAAGAATAAGCTTAAAACTTAGCGTAAGTAGTATTTTAAATATATAACTAAAATAAACTTTTCTATAGCTAAAAACCTTATAAAGCTATCTTTAGTATATATCTCACTTATAAGTTATATAAGTGAAGCTATTAAATTAAGTACTAACTGAAGTATTTTTTCTGCTTTTTCCTCTATTATAAAAACCCTTAAGTAGACTTATAACTCCCCTAATAATAACTAGTTATTATGGCTTATATATAATTTTATGTTAAAAAACCATTAAAATATTTTTATTGTTTAATTAATTATACAATATTATATACATATACTAACTGCTATTAATAATATCATAATTAATAGTATTATAACTAATATTATAATTATTCATTACTAGTTAAATAACTATATAACTAAAAACTATTATTAAATTATGTTTAACGTGGTTCATCAGTCAGCCGGCCGGACCAGTCAGCCGGACGTTTTTTCCCACGTACACAACAACATCTAGTATTTCTCAACCACAACGCATTAAATCAACTATTAGTTGTCGCTATCAGAATCTCCTGAGGGTTCGACATCTTTGGAACAGGTTCGCGCGTTATGCCCAGTCTCACCACACAGACCACAGCGTCTCCGAGCTGGCTGGGCTCTCTTTGATGGACCCCCCTCGTCGTCCTCTTGAGGTGCTGGACGTTTCCCTTTTTGTTTCCCTTTAAGCAAAACCTGAGATTCCTCTATACTAAGTGCCCCTCTGTAAAAGCGTGTATAATAGAGGTAATGTTATTAAGAGTAGGGGTAGTATTTAATATAATAAAATGGGGAAACTTTTCGTTTTGTTGATTATTATAATAGAATTCCTCGTATTCAATAATAACCATTTATAACCAGTATAAATAGTTATTACTAATATGAAAGAAATAATACTAATAATAATGGTGAATAATAGTAATAGGTAGTAGTAGTTGAATAGATAAAACTGTTGAATTGCTTGCTTCCTCAAAATCTGTTCTAAGTGGAAAAATCCATCATATATATGATACATTTTTTCCTCGCAAACCTTTACTTAGTTTGGTAATTACTTAATTAGGTAATTACTATGATAGGTAATTAACTGTAAAAACCTTATTATAAAGTTAATTATTACGGCTTTGTTTTATCCGATTCGGGTATTCTAGATCCGTAGTATTATTATAGTTATAGTTTATAGATTTGTTACGGGTTATTAGTTTCCGTTGTTTTGGTTTCAAATTTAGTTACACTAGTATTAGTAATCTTAGCTTTACATCGTTTTTATAGCGCTAGTAATATTGAGTTTTACTTAAATTCTCCTTTTAGGGGGTAGTTTTTAGATAGGGTGTACTTAGTTAGGTCTTGGTAGTTTTTAGAGCCCCCCAGAAGTTAAGTAATGTTAATTTTACTTAAATTCTCCTAAAATTAGAAAAAGTTAGTAGGGTTATACAGGCCTAAATATTTAATAAATTGTCTATATTGCGTAGTATTTAAGTCCTTAGTTAGGCCATCAGCAATATTCTTATTAGACTTAGTATAGGTTAAAAGCACTTTTTTATTCATAATATTCCAACGAACAAAGTGATAGGTTATATCTATATGCTTTGTTCTTTTATGAAACTCTGGGTTTTCAGCTAAATACTGGGCTGATTGAGAGTC